TCACACGTATTTTAGGACGGCATTTCTGTCCAGACGTCTTATAATGCTATTTCTCTCGTTCTTACGTTTGCGATAGAGGATGGAAGATCGCCGCGACTCCCACCACTATTCCCTCTCCAAGCGTCCGACGATCGTATACCGCTAGCTCCCTCCGCCACTCCGTGCTGCTCTTAGCTCACCTACACGCAGCAGTGTATGAGTGACGCGTTATCGTGTGCGAGTCACACGGATATTCGGACGGCATTAACGCCGGTGCGTGTACACGAAATGATAAGCTATAAACGTATCAACAAACGTTCAGTTGCGGGTTCAACATGGCGACCGTGGGGATCATGGAGGACGCTTCATGGTATCGCTTGAACTTCTCTTATTATTTAGGATTCTACTTTTTCTTGTGTCCAATATAACGGGACACACAATAGCCTCTCCTGCTGCTCTATTTCCAGTTGTCATCGCGCAAGCGCATGAACGGCTGCGAACATCAAGGATAGATGGGAAAAGATCCATAGAAGTATCCGTCTTTGTCGCACATATGTCGAACACCGTTCAGAACATTGTTACAGTCGGTTTGGTCATGCCTCTTTTAAAACACACACACACACACACACATCATACACACATATATATATATATATGTATAAACTGCATGTATATACTACATTATATGCTTCCAGAGATACTGCGTTCCCAAGCGCGTGATAGAAAGAGAGAAAAAGAGGGGAAAAGAGAGAAGGAGAGAGGGAGAGAAAGAGAGATAGAGAAACAAGCGAAGCAAGTCCGCGTCATTCAGTCGTGCTCTCGTCGGTGATCGTGACACTTGTTTGACGGAGCAAGGTGCGCGTCCTGCAAAGACGTTGGTGGATTTGTCGCTTGGCAGTGTTACTGACGGGTGCTAGTTAGCGTCGACGCGGAGCGTTCTCAGTTCTTCACGGAACGGCGATTTGAATCGCCCGTTTTTGACGGCAATATGGGGCCGGTGAACCCGGACCTGCAGCGAGAGCGTGAAAGATGCAGTTTCAAATCCATAGAGTTGACGCATTTTTGGGACGGCAGTTCGACTAGGACGGCGCAGCGGCATGAGTTAGGTTTGTGTCATCTTCGTATCGGTGATTCAGTGCAATTTCTTGCACAGCAGCAGTAGCCGCCGCCGCTGCCGCGTGTACATATATATATGATTCGCTCGATTCTCACGCTGACCGCCAGCGTTACGTATACGTATATTCTTATCGCTCGTCACTTTGATTGACTTTTACTTAAAAGAATTCCATCTTCTCTCTCTTTCTCTCTCTCTTTGCATAAAAAAAATATATATAAATATATATATATAATATATATATATATATATAT